TGTGTGTGTGTGTGTGTGTGGGGGGGGGGGGGGAGAGAGACGGGTGAGAGGGACGTGTGTGACAGCGTGTGTGAAATAAACGTCGTCGTCATTCTAACTACGATGGCAAAGCCTCCATCATCGCCATAGCTATCAGCGGGCATACCAGGCCCAGATCCTCCCCTTCCCGTATTTCCCCCCTCCTTGTGCTGAGGGAGGTCACGGCAACCCCTCCCTCCCCTCCCCGCCGCTCTTGTCCACATATTCCCTCCACCCGGTGATGCGGAGCTGAGGCCTCCTCACCGTCCTTGTAGACGCTCTCCACCAGGCCCATCAGCCAGCCCTTGGGTCGGGGTCGGGCGGTGCGGTGCTGGGCCAGGGCGGTGGCCAGACGGACGTTTTTGGGGGAGAGGGTCGCCTGGGGCCCCACACCACTGCGGGCGGGAAGTGGTGGAGGAGAGAGGGGGAAGGGGGAAGGGGGAAGGGAATCAAGGAGCTAACGGGCAAGGGGGAGGACAATGTCCTAAAGTACGACCCAGCAGGGTAGGGGCACCTAAACCAACCCCAGGGGGGAGGCAGGTAGGAGGGGGACAAGGCCCTCGTGTCGAGGGTTGTACAGCTGACGGCGGCCCCAGCGCAACGTTCACTGCCTCGTGCCTCCCCTCCCCGCCCCTCTCCTCCCCTCCCCGCCCCTCTCCTCCCCTCCCCGCCCCTCTCCTACCCTACCGCCCCTCTCCTCCCCTCCCTGCCCCTCTCCTCCCCTCCCCGCCCCTCTCCTCCCCTCCCCGCCCCTCTCCTCCCCTCCCCGCCCCTCTCCTCCCCTCCCCGCCCCTCTCCTACCCTACCGCCCCTCTCCTCCCCTCCCCGCCCCTCCCCGCCCCTCCCCGCCCCTATCCATCCCTGTGCAGACACACCGTAGGAGTGGCGAGGCCACTAAGGCGGCATCAGGTGGTACTTACCCGGCAGCGTCCCGGAAGTCCTTCAGCAGTATGTGGGTCATCGCTGACGGGCGGCCGCCAAGCCCCGGGGGCCCTCCTCCCTGCGCCACCGCGCCACGGAGCATATCCGCTGCGCTGGCATAGCCGCCGCCACCACCACTACCATAGCCGCCCTGTGATTGCTGCTGCTGCTGCTGCTGCTGCTGGCGGCTGATACGGAATGCGGCCTTGATGGCGGTGAGGTTGCTGTTGCCGGTAGTGGTGGTGGCGGCTCCGGGTCCACCGCGGGAGGACCCGGGGGTACCTGGGGGCCACACCCCGTCCGCAGTGCCTCGGTAACCCGTACTTGTGGCGTGTGGGGAGCTGCGTGTGTTTGGAACCGGCGTCATGCGGCTGGGTGTGGAGGCAGCGCCAGCACCCCGGATGGGTGATGCCGGCGATGCGGGTGCGGCGTCGGCCCCCTTGCCGCCACGCCGTGCTATGGCCTGCATGTGCAGCTGCTGCACCTGCTGCTGCTGCTGGCGGGACAGGTGCCCCGGGTCGACCTCGCTGGTGCGGTACCGGCGCATGGCAGCGGCGGAGCCGTTACCGGCGGCAGCGACGGTGGAGACGCTGTGCCGCCCGACGCCGCCGACGCCGCCGCTCTGCCCCGAGAGCGACGGCTCGGCTTCCATGACGGGACTGAGGCGGCCTGCGGTGGCGGCGGCAAACGCGGCTGCAGCCGCCGCCGCGGCGGCAGCCGAGGCGGCTGCGGCTGCGGCGTTGCTTCCGCTGTCGCCACCTCCACTGCCCATGCCGCCGCCACCACCAACGCCAGTGGGTCCACCGCCATCGCCACCGCCAATGCCTCCACCACCACCGCCGCTGCCACCGCCGAAGGTAACACCGCCACCGCCAACACCGCCACCGCCACCGCCACCGCCACCGCCACCGCCACCGCCACCGCCACCGCCACCGCCAGCACCGCCAACACCAATGCCGCCGTCGCCGATACTGCTGGGCCCCTCATCTGTGACGAATTCATCCTCAAAAACGTCCCTGTCGTACCCCATGGGGCTGCCGCCGCGGCCTCCTCCGCCACCGCCACCGCGTTGCCGGCCTGCGCGACCTCGACCGGCCCCTGCGAAGAGCCCCGGCCCCTCCGGACTACCCTGGGAATCCGGCACAACCTCCACGTCGCCCTCCGACGCGAACAAGGTACGGGACGTATCATCTTCCGCCGCCATAGCGTCGTCCGCGGCGTGCCGCTGGCGGCCTCGCCGTCCGCCGCCGCCGCCGCCGCCGCCACCGGCGCCTGCACCACCACCACCGCCGCCACCGTCTGCGGCGGCGCCATCTCCGGTACCACCCGCGGCGCCGTCTGCCTCCAGATCGCTGTCCTGTGACCACCGCCGTACGCGACCGTCATAGCCCCCAAGTCCTTCATCGCCCTCAAAGTCGCTGTACTCGTCAATGAACTCCAGGGCCCGGCGACCCACTACCGCGGACATGGACGCCGCCAGGTCGACATTGAAGTCCGATTGGGCAGTGCCAGCGGAGAATTGGGGACCGCCGCCGCCGCCGACACTCAGCCGCGGCGTCAGGCCGCCGGGGGCTGCACTGCTGCCTCCGGGATTGCCGGCGCCGACAGAAAGCCGTGGCGAGCAAGCAGCCACCATTCCAGGAGAGGCCGGTGCCGGCATGGACGTTGTGACTGGGAGCGGTGGCGAAACACTGGCAAAGTATTCCTGCGGCGGCCCTGCCGCCGCCACGACCGCCGCCGCGGCTGCTGGCGCAGCAGCTCCGCCCTTCGCGTTGGCCGCCGTCTTGCCACCTCCTCCAACATTCTTCCGGCTCTTGCCCTTGTTACGTCCGCGGCCCTTCTGTCTGCTTGCGTCGGCAAGTACCTGCCCGGTCGCAGCGCGGGAGAAAAAATGCATCGGGCCATTACCAGCTGCTATAAATGCTAATCACGCCATGAGACTCCAGTTCTCAATACAATAGGTTTTTAATTTTTTCTTATATTGGTCCCTTAGAAAATTCAGATAACGGTTGTTTAAACCCTATTACAGCTGCTGCCGCAGTTGCTGCTATACACAGCCTCGGATCATAGCACGCCATGCCTGGCCAGGACCAGCCCCAACCTAGGCTCAAAACTCCTCAACCGCTCAACCCGTCAACCCTACGACGCTTCCTGACATATTGCCCGTTTTTATTATTTTAATTAGGTCAGAATCACCTCCCGTAACCCCCCATGGCGCCTACCTCCTTACCCCTCCTCCCCGCTTTTCCTCACCTTCATCATCTTGTCCCTTTCCTCCTGCTTGAGCGCCTCCACCACCAGCACCTGGGCCGCATCCGCCAGGCAGGCCAGCAGAGCCACACTCTCATGGGCCCCCAGCAGGGCCAGCTGCTCAGCGGCCCGCTCGGGGTCCATGCGGGACAGCAGGGCGGCTTTCTCCTGCGAGGAAAAGGAGGCCGGCGAGGGAGTATAGCGGTGTAGCAGGAGTAGCGGCGGGTTGGAGGTGGAGGTGGAGGTGGAGGTGGAGGTGGAGGTGGAGGTGGAGGTGGAGGTGGAGGTGGAGGTGGAGGTGGAGGTGGAGGTGGAGGTGGAGGTGGAGGTGGAGGTGGAGGTGGAGGTGGAGGTGGAGGTGGAGGTGGAGGTGGAGGTGGAGGTGGAGGTGGAGGTGGAGGTGGAGGTGGAGGTGGAGGTGGAGGTGGAGGTGGAGGTGGAGGTGGAGGTGGAGGTGGAGGTGGAGGTGGAGGTGGAGGTGGAGGTGGAGGTGGAGGTGGAGGTGGAGGTGGAGGTGGAGGTCGTGAGTTGGGGAGACGCTTCGATGCCACGGCGAGGGTGTCCCGGGGGACGGGTCTGGTCGAGAAGGGGTTGTTAGTGGTGGCGGTGAGGTGGACAAGTAGGGTGGCTAGGTGAGGACGCAGAACGGACCAGTCAGACGTTACTCGGTGCTACTAGCTTGGTCACTAGGCAGCCAGACAGGCAGCCGGACAAACAGACAGACAGGCAGGCAGGCAGGCATGTAGACTTGCACGCACCTGCACGGTCATGAAGCCCATAATGCGATCTGCGGAAGCGGAGTGCATCTCCATCAGAGCCTCAGTACCTGGGAAGGGGCTTGAGGTAGCGGCTGTGGGCGGCAGGGAGGGGGAGGACAAGGGGAAAGGGCGGAGGAGGGAGGGGGCAAAAAAGGGAAGGGGTTGGAGGAAAAAGGGAGGCAGAGAAACGGGCCGCGGGCCGCAAACGCCGAGTACTGCCGGAGATGCCATGACTCACGGGCGGCAGGCTGTGCATCCGCCCGCCACCTTGGATACTTTCCCCCGTTCCACCCCCAACCCCCGGTATTGCTATCTCCTTGACTTTGCATATAATTCCCACCATACAACCTTCCTCCATACCCCCCACTGCAGCTATAACCATGCTCCTTCACTCTCCCACCTGCCGCCTCTTGGCCACCTCCGGCCGCTTGTCCGTCCTGCGCCACAAAGTCCAGTCCCGCCGCGTTCGCGTCCGCGTTCCCCTGCGCCACCGCTGCAGCTGCCGCCGCCCTCCTGCCCCGGGTGTCCATTTCCAGCACCGTCTCTGCCGCCATGCGGGGCATCATGGCCTCAAGAATGGCATTGCGGACATCCAGGTCGTCCATGCCCTGGCGGGGGGTGTTCAGGGAACGCAAGCAGATCCTTAACTAGGGGGCGGGGCGGGGGCGGGTCAAGGAAAGGAACGCGGCCGGGTCTAGGA